AGGTTCCTTAATTCCTCCTCACTTTCTGCCATCAGAGTGGTATCATCTGCATATCTGAGTTTGTTGATATTTCTTCCGGCAATCTTGATTCCAGCTTGGGGTTCATCCAGTCCTGCCTTTCGCATGATATATTCTGCATATAAGTTAAATAAGCAGGGAGGTAATATACAGCCTTGTCATATTCCTTTCCAAATTTTGAACCAATTAGTTGTTCCATGCTTCTGTTAATACATCCTAAAATCACATTAGCCTTTTTTGCAGCCACTTCACACTGCTGCCTTATGTTCAGCTTTTGATCTATAACAATTCCAAGATCTTTCTCACTATCATTACTGAACCTAGAATCTGTTGGGAGAGATATGTGGACTGAACACTATGATGCCCAGTAGAGAAACAATGTACTATCAGACGGCTGCAAAGGCATTTCCTGACAGTGCCAGAAATGGTCACCAACTGGAGCAATCTCCAGCTCTAGCTTGACCCCCCCCCCAAAGTAAAAACCCTGTAGCTGGATCAAAAAGGTGTAGCTTGGAATCAGACTGGAGTCGGGCTGGAACATGTTTCCCTGTGTGCCGTGTGATCGCTGGGAAACATATCGCACCAGAACGCTTCATGAGTGATCCAAATTGTGGTCTATTTCCTCATGCAGTCACACCCTCCGTTTCCTAAACTAAGGGTGGACAAAAGTAAATTTGAATCGACTGGGATATCTGCAGTGTATTGAGTTGTACCTAAAGTTCAGGTCAGAATCTCCAAGTCACAATTGTCTCATTTCCCAAGAATCCAGAGTCAAAGCCGAAAGAATGAATCCTAAAACCCCGAGTCTTGGTCCCAAAGCCTAACACCAAGCAACCCAAAAAGTCATCTTCCTTTTCTTCATCTTCTCCTTCTGCGAGGAAGTAAATGGAGAAAGAATAGGAGAAGATTATGGTCAGTATATAGGCTGGTAAATACAAGTTATGTTCCGTAGTCTGGGTACATGCATGCTTGCATGGGGAGGCTTTCTTTCCATTTAGACACCAAAATCAATTGCCTTATCAAGGCAAAATGCAACAATAAACTACGTATCTGCACAAATCCAGAGGAATGACTAAATTCAGCCTGCAAGCCATATATATGCAGCCAACTCCACTGCCCTAAGTTCAGCCCCCAATTTTTAGACCTCCAAATGGCAAATCAAACTGCTGCGAAGTCTCTGACTGGTACTCTTTGCCAACTGAATGAAATTTGTCCTGCTCTTTTTTGGCGGTGGAGGAACACGCAGTGGCCGGATTGCCAGGAGAGCAAAAATGGCCCCTGGATCCTGAGACATTAATTCTTTGGTTGTTATGTGCCTTCAAATCATGACCTACTTACAAGGCTTTCAAGATGTGATATATTTAAGGAGTGGTTTTACCAGTTCCATTCCCTCAGTGAGTTTCCCATGGTTAAGCGGGAATTCAAATCCAGGCCCTCTGAGTCCTCATCTGCTGTACTATCCATTGGGTATCACTGAAATAAAATAAATAGGGTACTGCTAACAGTGGGTATTACTAAAATGAAATGAAATGGAATAAGCATACAGAATTGCAGATAGTTTGTGGAAGTTAATTTAGATGTCTTGCTTCACATTTAGAAAACATAACTATCATTGAATTACAGAACATCTCACTTCCATTGGGGTTTCTTCCTTGTCCACATCAAACTGATGTTCTTCTGTGGTCATTTTTCTTCTTCTTGATGTTTAATTACTATTCCACTTTTGCACTTCCTTAACACTCACTAAGTTGTTGCTATTTTGTATCAGTGATATGGTGTCATCTGCACAGCCATTCATTCATTCGTTCGTTCGTTCGTTCGTCCGTTCGTTCGTTCGTTCTTTCTTTCTTTCTTTCTTTCTTTCTTTCTTTCTTTCTTTCTTTCCTCTTTTCCTCATTTCCTCATTGTTCCTTCCCTCCACCCCCTCCCTCCTTTCCTGACCTTTTTTTAACCTAAAAGGTGCTTGCTTTTGTTTAAAAGGTGCTTGGGTTAAAAGCTGTTCCCTCCCCCCTCCCTCCTTTCTTGCCCCCTTTTTTTTTAACCTAAGTTCATCTTAGGTCAGAAGAAGAAAAATTCTCCCCCTAGTGATAGAGTACGGATTAACCAGCTTTGCCTTAGTTCCTATGGGAACTAATGCTTCGACTTAAGAACGGTGCCTCTACATAAGAACCAAAAACAGCCGGAACGGTTTTCAGTGCATTCCTATGGGAAATTTTGTTTCAACTTACGAAAGTTTTGAGTTGCGGGCACCAGTTCAATACGGATTAATTTCGTAAGTCAAGGCACCACTGTATATTGAATGAAGAAAGAC